AAGAAGATAAAAGACATTTTTTTCCGGTAACAGCAACAAAGCGTCTGTCCGCCATTTTGGATTATCGCTGGAGGTGATTATCGTGTGCGACAAGTTGCAGAGAACATTACTTCTTATAATCGCGCCTTAAGTTTCCACAATTTCAAAATCTTTTTATGCAATACTTACAAATTCATCGCGCGCTGATTGTTTTTTTTTTATCATCGATCGTTTTTGTTATTGTAAAAGACAAATTGACATCAGTTTTTTGTGTGTCTGTCTGTAGTGTGGATCTGTTGCGAATGCCCACTGATCGGCTGTAATTCGCTACAGACCACGGATAAACTTGCGTTTATTCTTTTCACCACTGAAGGTTTACAAATCAACTTGTTGCTCTCGCTCGCTCTCGCATTCTCTTCACATTCCTCACGTGCAAACGTTCGACTCAATTTGCATATATGATAATGTCGTTGCGTCATTTCCGACAGATCCACGAGGCGTCGCCAAGTTGATACGCATACTAAATGACGAAATCATATTTAATGGAGCGGAATGGTTCGGAAACTCCATAGAACAAAGCTATTGTTTTGCGTTTGAGGTTGAACCGTACCATCACGTGTTACTGACGGTGCACAATGAACCAAAGCAAGTATAGCTGAAAATATTCATTTCCTTATCATTTTCATGTATGAACATTTTGAAAGTAAAAACTTTCATTCGATGAGCAAAATTTATGCGGATATACAGCGCTAGCTAAGCAACGTTTCTTTCTCTGTGCACGGTCAACGTCATATAACAATGGATAAAGTCGAACAAAACATAGAACAATGGGTTTCCCAACCATTCCGCTCCATTAACTATGACGAAATTGATCGAACAGACACACGAAAAAATGAACTGATGTCAATTTGTTAAATCATAATGAAACCAACACTGATTTGATGTCTTTCTTTTCGTTGCAGACTGAGAACCTACGAACTTGTTGACCAAAGAATACATGAAATGGACGCGGATAACTAAAGCAAACGATGTTGATTTACAACGTTACTATGGTAACTGCTCTCGTCATACATTTACTTATAAATTGTATGAAAATCACGAAGAAGATAAATAAAGGCATTCAAAAANATAGACAAAGATGAACGGCGTCGCTTTGCATTTTTTACTGAAATTTTGTTGAGTGAACTATAAACAAAAAATCGCACGATCTTCTCGTACAATTTGGAATTAATAGACACTCGTAATGTTTTGAAAGTTCTTGTAATTGCACGAGCCTTTGAGATCGTGCGATTTCCTATACTAATTACACCTCGTATTGTAAATATATTCTTGTTTTTCAAAGGCCGCCCATGGATTGGACTAGGTAAACTAAGAATTTTGTAAGCAAAATTGAAGCAAATTGTAAATAAAGATAACATGCAATAATAATAAAAATTATAATGTCTTTATTGTGTAAATACAATACATATTTACACTTTAAAAACTTAAAAAGTAACTTGTTTGGTATTGTTTATCTTCTATTGTATCAGAGACATAAGCATTTCACAAAGTCATGTTAAAAAACATTTTCCTCAATATATGTATACATATATATTGTCCATCATATTTAACTGGCAATTAGTCCCCAAGCACGACCGCCTAATGGGCTATTTACTATTAGCCCATGAGGGCGATTGGACTAATTGTTTTAGTCACTGAATCCAACTAGTCAATTTCTTCTACAGCCAGGGACGTCGTACAAGAAATTAAAGTGCTTATAAGCCTTTGCACAATATTTTCAGACTTGATTCTTTAGATAGTGGATAGTTGATTGTGAAAATATTTCGTCATTTGAATGTCGGGTCTTTAAGGTACGAAGGTTTATATTCCCAATATGTTAATGACTATGACGTAACATAAGGGATCAATTAATATACAACACTGCACTCGTTCTGGAAAACAGTATTTTAAAAGCATCACCCTTTTGCTCGTGACTCGCGTAAAGGTTCTTACAAATTTGTTTTCAAAAAATGTCCAGCGTTCAATATTAAAAGTCGCCACAAAATATTGGAAATATAAACCTTCGTATCTCAAAGACCCGAAATTCAAATGACGAATTATTTTCACAATCAACTATTCACTATTTAAAAAATCAATTCTGAAAATATTGTGTAAAGGCTTATAAGCACTTTAACTTATTGTGTAAATTTTGAACGCGCGCATGTAGTTTTACAGTTGTAAAATGCGCGCATATGTGTTAGTTCTCATGATTACCTCGCTCTTCGTAACATCGAACCAGCCATTCACCCTGATGAAAACTGTTTTGTATGACCGAAATATAGGTGTTGCTTAGAAAATATAGTATTTTCTCTTGTGTTATAGTATTTATAGAGGTTATCAGTCGGCTAAGCATCTGGTACGGCTGTGTATTTTTACGAGTCAAGGAGTACTTTGGATAGTCTAAATACTAGTGACCAGTAAAAATACACAGCCGTATCAGTTGCTTAGCCTACAGATAAGCTGTTTATCATTTAATTCTGCAAAGAAATGATCAAACTCTCTCTAAACCCTATTGCACCCAGCGCGAGCAGATGAGAAGTGCTGATACGGTCTCACATCCGGCATGGTCTTTGTCGTATTAGTCAAAGTTATAAGAAAGATCAACTAGACGACTTAACTCCTACACCTGAGAGTAGTGCGGTTTACGATTGTAAATTAAGAAAATATGATATGATAACATAAACATACCACACAAGAACATTGACATTTCTTAGATAGCAGTCTTACGTTTTTTTTTTCTTTTTAACTTTATTTGCACGAGATACCTCTATGTTTCTAGAGCGCGCCCAGGAAGAAGATTTAAATGTCTGGAGTACAACTATTGTGACGTATATCTTTAAGATTGAAAATATCGATAAAGACGAAGCTAGTTTTCGTAAACGATCTTGATTTTTAATGTGTAAAAGATTATTTTAAAGGTTTAGAACCACGTATCATGAAATAATATTTCCATTTGTGAGTTATTTAGGCACTTCGGACAATAAGACGTTTGTATGATAGCGTCATTCGACTCCCATAACCAAGATGCTTGGCGAGTTTTCTTTCTTATTTAAATTTGCTTCCCTCATGAGAATAGTAAGACAATTGGTGCTAATTAACTGAACAAAAGAAAGTGTGCAAGGGAGTCTGGTAGTAGAGGTCAATGACGCCATCATGCAAACGCCCTATTGACTATGTCTTTGAGTCCTTGAACTCTACTCATCTGTCTCTTGCTTCGCATGCGCAGTAGGCTCCACAGCGGGGTTTCTTTTGAAGCACTTTATTCCACATAAAGCATAGAGCTCCATAAATGCTTTCCTGAACTGCGTGTTTCTTACCGAATAGATAATAGGGTTGCACAAACTGTTCATATACCCCAGCATCAAAGATCCCATATCTATCCATCGTGGCAGACGATGAGGATAGTAAATGTCAAGGAACATCGTTGTTGCAAATGGCAGCCAGCAAGCGATAAACGTGCCCAGGACAATTAACAGTGTGTTAGTAATTCGAGATTCCTCTGTCGAAACGTTCCTAAATATATCATTTCTAGTAAATTGGGGAACTTCAATTTTGACTTTTCTTCTTGCCTTCTTAGTAAAGCAGAGAATCCTTGTATAGCAAACGCCCATCGTTATCAAAGGTCCAAAGAAACAAACTGACACCATAAAATAGGCGAATGAGGCATTTTCGCGCCACAGCACAAAGCAGTAGGACTTGCCAGACACGTATCCAAACGATGCCCACCCGAGCAACGGAGGCAGCGATAACACTAGCGCCATCAACCAGGTTAAAAGAATATATAGCTGGACTCTTCTTGGTCTGAAATTTCGTTTGTAGTCCTTCCAGTGAACTATGAAGAAAAATCTGTGAATTGCAATAAGTGCTAAAGACAGTACTGATGATATGAAGGATAGGATATTGACAAAACCAAATACTTGGCAGGCGACTTCCCCCAACAGCCATTGGTTCTGGATGATAGTATACACAGTTACTGGCATGTTTACTAACGACACTAGTAAATCAGCCAATGCTAGATTTAACGTAAAGTAGTTGGAAACTTTTTGTAAAGAACGGCTTCTGAAGACAATAAGGTATAGGCTGATATTCCCTGTTAGTGAAACGATGGCGATTAGAGTTAAGATTCCTGCCTCCAAATACAACTCTGTTGTAGACATCCTTCAAATTTTCACAGACCTTTCTGGAACAGTAATCCCTGCGCCCGACGACTAACACTGGCACAGATATGGAGTGAATTCAGTGGAAAACAGCTGTAGAATTTCCTTTAACGACGTCATGAATTCTGGTCGTCGTTTTAGTATTTTCGTCGTAACTTTCTTCCCTGCGAAAAACAAAGAAAAACTGTTTTTCCTTGACGATGTTTCATTACTGTGCAAACGTAAAACTCTTTCCCGAGCAGTGAAGCTTAGTGACAGTGCATGAAACTATCCCAGCTCAAATCTTAGATAACTTCTTGTATTGTTTTAACTGGGTCGGCTCCCGTTTCCGCTTCCAAAAAGCATCTAGTTTGTCGCTCTTCTTAAATATGGTTGAAACAAAACATAGATCATTATTTCATAGTTCAAAAAATATTAGTCATCAGAAAGGCAGAATACTTATAATCGCATTTAAGATAGTGAAGGGTTGTTAATTGAAAGCGAGTTTACTAGAATAATTAGTGCCGGAAACACTTTACCCAGCACAGTAGGACGGTAGTTTTCTTTTGATTCTATGCATCATTCTAACGTTTATGCGACAGGTGTTATTAAACCGTGGATAGACGGACCTGCTGAACACTCAGAACCTGAAGAACAAGATCAGGAAAAAATATCTTAATGCCCCTTATGAAAAAATACATTTATTTCCATTTAATATGAATGTTTATACAATATTGGCTACAAGGCACTCTCTTTTTCTTATATGGAGCCTATACTCTATAATATTACGGGATTTTATAGTCTCCTACGCAGCCGCTATTAGTTTCGTCACGCAACTTAGGGGACTGAGCGTGGCGTGACGACACTAATAGCCGGCTGCGTAGAAGACTAGGGATTTTAGCGTCTACGTGGGTTAGAACTAGTCCCCTCTCAACTTTACTTTGCCGCGCTTTTCCCGGAAACTAAGATGGCGGAATGCTGAAATGCGACCTATCTTTTGCTTTTTTTAAAATTTAGTCTGAAGAAAAAGTAGAAAAACTTGATAAGGTTTGTATTTTTATTCCTTGACTTTCTTTGCCACACGTTTTCAAAATAGCTTTTTGCCTTCATCAGAAAAAATCTGTTAACATTTGGTCATCTACGATTTCAAGCTCACGCCCCCTCATGTGAGCCCATACAAATTATGTCTCAAAAACACGGTTTTTGGATATTTTCTCAAAATAATGGCTATCTAGGCAAAAAAAAAGAAGCGGATTCAGTTAATTCATCTATTCACGGACTGTATTATATGGTTTAGATTGAATTCTATTGAAAAAAACCACCGTACTTTTTGAGTTGAATGTACGCTACTGGATGTATTTTACAAGAAAAAATGCATGACATAACCGGGGTCAAGCTAGAAAATCGTCTCTCCTTGAAATAAAACAGAACCTGTCAAAAAAACAGAAGTGAATTTTAAAAAACCCCGGGCTTTCCTGAACATTTTGGTATATAATTCATAGGAATTTGTTAAAATTTAGAACCGTATTTTTGCTGATTTTATAAGCTCATACTATCTGTTGGCCTATACATTCGCCTCTCATGGTTTCTTAGGTTTCGTAGCCTCGAAAACACGCTAACTGAGGTAGTTAGCGAAAGGACAGAAGATTTACGGGTCATTTAGGATGTTTTGTCACGCAGTTTACTTGTGCTATATAACTTTACTTTTAAGAACAGCCTTTTGCTTTGGAAAGAGAGGACTAAAAGACCGAAAAGAGCAAATATTCCAAATGTATGGGCAATTTTTTCCAATGTTTAAACATTTCTTCGTGAGTCAATACATTTTCTGTAACACCAAACCTCTTGATGTTCCGTACGCTCAAAATGAACTCGGAATAAACTGATAATCAGTATTGTACAGATAAAAGCAGGTATAGTATATATTCAATTGAAGAACCTTTCAATTTGGCCCTGATTATTGGTACTAGCTGTCTCCCAAATTAATAAGTCAAAAAACAACTTTATTAAATATAAGTGCACATGAACCCTTATATTAATATTTTAGTGAAGATTCTAGATGAGAAAATAATAAAGTATATATATTTCATGATAGGAGGGATACATGCGTAATCCCTACCTAATGGTGCAATATAGTTGTTTGGTCACCCCTCAGCCAAAACATAATCCCTTCTTTTAAGCTTACTCGTTGCATTCAAACACAATCTGGAGTGGTCACTCGATGTAAAATCGTGCTAGTTTGGTACCAAGTGTTTTTTTGTTTGTTATAATTTCAGGCCCCGTCCACACGTGTTCGGAAATTTTTGTATCTGTATCCGAATATTTTCGAATACGCTCCGAATACGGATACGTGTGGACGGTCGTATCCGCAAATTTTCGAATACGCCGACTTAAAAACGATTTTGCGCATGCTCAATAAGAAAACTATCCGTCAAAGGGACTAGGCACTAGCGTGCATCAGGGCGGATCATGAAATTTCCGGATACGTGTGAACAGTGAAAACGATTCGAAAACGATTCGAATACGCTGCGTGTGGACGCTAACATTTTCGTATGCGCAAAAAAAAAAATTTGCGGATACAAAAATTTCCGGATACGTGTGGACGGGGCCTCAGTGTAGGTGCTTGTGTATGCGATATTACAAACATGTTATGCTTTCAATTTCGGGGAGAGGGGCACTTTTTTATTTCGCTGTGCCGCCATTACTAAAACTAATCAAAGTAAAGAGTCTAGCTCATTATCCTTGATACAGCCTCGTTCCCAGGGCCTCTTCTCGCTTTTTTTCAAGATGGCGGCGCTTGAAAAAAAGCGAAAAGAGAAGGCCCTGGGAACGAGGTTGGTCATCTTGACCATCTACATGTAACTGTGCTTACAAAGTTTCCAGTGGATGTAGGTTATTATTATTATTATTATT